TTCATGCCCTGTTCGTCCGCAGTTCATGCACAGTCTAGATTTTTCTTTTGTGTCAAATCCCGTTCTTTTTGCTCCAACTTGCGCTTGTACAGCAAAGCTCATCGCCTCCCTTTTTTCTTCTTTGCCACGTGTCATGGTTCTCAGGCGCTCCTCTTGTATCACCATGGGATAGGCTTTGTTCAAGCTCGGTAGCAAATCGGTGCCTAGAATATTAGAACGCACTGTTCCATACATTGCGTTGTCCAAGCCCATCAGAAATTGATGGACTCTTTCTTCCTCTCGTCTCTTCTCTAGCTTCGCAGGGATGTTACAGTTGCAGCCTACACAAACGCACGTCGGGATTTGTTCGTAATTAGCAAGCTCTTCCCATATTTGTTTCAATTTGCCATAATAAGTCACGATTGGGAGACCAGCCTGTTTGTTGTTCACGAGATCCGCTTTGAGTTGTTGAATTCTTGGTCCATTGCCCACTGAAAAACGCTCTTTGGTGTCGTCCCATAAATCTTTCACAAGCTTCATATATGTGATTGTAGAACGCAAGCTTGGTTCTATCGTGTTCAGAATCCACGAAACCAACATCGAGTTTATGGTCCACCAGTCTTCCAATTCTGGTGAATCATCAGCGGGCTGAGATATAGTCCCATCGATAAATCCAATTTTCTTCTTAGCTCAGAGCGTCATCCGCATTGCTCGAGCCCATTCTTCGTAATTGTCTCCTTTCAGTTGAATTTGGGTAATTATATTACCCGGATTGTCATTGGTAGTCAAGTAGTATGGTGAGGCCGCCTTCTTGCTTCCGCCCTCACCTTCATTCTTCTTCTCTTTTTCATCCGCCATTATCAGTCAACCAGAGCTTGAAAACGGATCTGATACCATGACAAAGTTTAGGTGAAAGAGAAAGATAATGGGAGAAAGTTTCAGTCATTCCAGCCAATGATTACAAGCAACATATATACAAAGTTCCCCCACAAGAATATTGGCTAACAACTAGGAAACAAATCACCGACTCCTATAATTATGGTAACTAAAACCAAATTTACAGCTATCTTAAACTGGCACAAAGATTATATCCTAAAATATACATGAAGATATACGATGAATCTCAATATCAATCAACGTTGAAGCCCTCCCAAATGGATTCTCTATCAATCTTTTGCAGGCTTGTTCAATTTGATGGTAATCTGACCTGGCCCTAGTAAGAACCTGACTCACCACATCTAGGTCAGGATGGATTTTTTGAATGTTGATCAGGTTTGGGGTAGGTTTTGGGAAAACCTGAAATTCTAGTGATGAGAAATGGGGCAGGATAAAAATACCACCGTCTTAATCCCAGCCTCGAACCTGCCCCGATAGGTAATATGTTATTTTATATTTTTATATAAAAATATTATAATATGATACCTATATATAAAACAAATTTTATACACATATGTTACAATTCTCAAAAAACAGGTTTGCATGTAGCAAGGCAAATTCAGAAATTCTCATTCCCTCTGGGGAGAAGGATGGCCTTGAGATTTTCAACCCCACTAGAGTAAGGGGTGGGTATGAGGTGCAAATGCAATASACAATGGGTATGTCAACACTGGCTCCACCCTGCCCCGTTACCATTCTTAAGATTCTTTGAATAATTTATTTGGAGTGTTTTATAAATAGCTGAATCTTCAATTCAATTCCCCAAAATGGACCCTTAGATCCATGGGTCCATAGGGTTTTTTTGTTTTTTGATATTTAACACAATACACTAACTTTTCAACGGAGGTGAAAATAACAGGACTCTAATTCACGTCTCTACTGAAACTACCCAATTAACATACCAACTGAGCCACCACTCAGTTGGCTGGATCCATTGGAGCTTAGGAACCCAGTTAATGAGTATAAATTCTACCTACCATATCACCTCCCAATGATATATATGCAGCATATTTCGACTGGTTGGATATTAATAGGTTGGAAAAATTAGATCCATAAGACTCAGTTTGGAAGGATACAAATGCAAATACCTAGAGTACAAAACATTATATTTTTGTATTATTTTGTATTCATGTATACTGTACATATTTGTATTTTTGTTCTCCTTCCAAACTGAGCCTAARGAGCTTACGAACCGAATAAATGAATATGATAAATTCCATCTACCAGATTCGTGGAACCATGAACTTGGATGCTGGACTGAACTGGAGTCAATTATTTTGTCTTCAAATGGGTCGTCGTTGAAAAGTTTAGAGGGGCCATATCACCCTCAGTAGACACCAGTGAACTGTATCGATTGATCAATAAAACGTCATCAGTTTCTGTATATATCCCTTGTTAAGATTTAAATTCAAATCAGATTGAATTCGGATTTTGATGGATTCATCGATCCATTTAATAAAGAAGGTACATAAACTTATTACACTTTTTAATTCATGATAGCCTAAAATCCAACTCCAGCCACATAGGGAAAGAAAAGAAAAATAGGAAAATTCATACAAAGTTCGTAAAGGTTTTCTTACCTTTTCCTACTTTTTCCTTTAAATCAAACACAGCCTAAGGAAGTGGACTTTCACCGAATGATCCTCTCAGTTGGATAATGACTACTAGAAAGATAGAAAAAGATTATCAACAACAAGCGGTTGGGCCTGTGAGGACCGTTGGCAAAAGGAATCCAGATCTGTTCCTTACAGAGTGTTCCTCACATCAACCTTACAACGTGTTTCAGTCATCGGCTTCAGTCAGGGCAAAGCCCATTCAAGCAGCCTTTACTGTTTTACATTGAAAATATCTTCATACTTTTATGTTTTATTTAATGGAGAAATATTTCTAATGCAAGGTTGTAAAATGCTGTTAGAATGGTGTGGGCACATATTTGCCCTGATAAAAGCCTATCTCACACATTCAAATCATCATTTTCTGTACGTTGTATTGTTATTAATGAAAAAATGTTACTGATATATGGTGGAATGGGACTGTGAGGTTGATGTGAGGTGTGTTCTATTAGGAACAAATCCCAATTCTAACATAAAGCTTTTCTATAACCAACTGAAGAGACCTTACCAAGGATCAGGACCAGTTCCTGATAAAGACCTAGAAATATTACAAAAATTAAAAACCTACTTTTGTTGTCAAAATATTGCCACATCATATTTTTTTGCAAGGATTAAATCTACCTTTGATGTCTCTAGTCTGTAAGTATATACATAAATGGTTTTATAAATCAAGGATGGTTAGGGTATGGGATTATGTGGACAATACCAAAACGCATGCCTGCGTATCTTGGGAATCCAAATAGTCATACAAGAGGCAGACTACAACGTTAGGGGGTTTTAGGATTCCATCAAAATCACCATTATTCATGGAAAACTCCACCAACAAACATTTTGAACCATTTTTAATAAATCAAATAAGGTGAGGCGATTTTTTTGATACGTAAAGGTGGAGAGATAATGTTTCCTATGACCACTGCCGTAGGACAAACCCGAGACCCAGTGATGTTTCATTAAAAGTACACCTGGCAAAAAGTTTGATTCAATCCCCACAAACCTGATTCAACCCAACCRAAAAATAGGGTTAGGATCACATATTTAGCTACTTGGATGTGAGGATGACCCAACCACAACCCGACCTGGAAAAACTGGGTTGGGTCATGGATTAACCTGCCAACCCAATTGTCAGGTTTAATTGGGACTACTTTATGTATAGTTAGAAGTTTTCACTCTTTAATCTTTATTAATTTTGTCTTTACACTTCATTGTTTACTTTTTGAATTGTTGTATGTTTTAAATTTTTTATTTTATCTTCAGAATTTTAAGGTTAATTCCTTTAGTTTTGGCATTTTTCCTGTATTTTTCAAAATTTCAATTATTTTTAGGGATGCCCAAATTAACCCGTGGATCAACCCTAACCCGAACTGTTAGGGGTTAGGGTCTAGCGTTTGCCAATTGACCCAACCTGAACCCAACCCACCCAACCCAATTGCCAGGTCACATTAAGCTGGTGTTTGATTAAAACTGTTAGAAAATATCAACCTATTCTAGGACCTCACTTGACAGTTTAAGCTTTTAAGTTCAATGGTTCTTTGAGATAGTATCAGAGCCATCTTGACCAATTGGTCTACTGTTTGATCCTCATTACCCTGTTATAATTAAATAAGTTTCAGCACAAGGTAAGGATAGGCCTGTGCTTGTTCACTCTTCAAGCCCAATGGGCTTTCGTGGGCATGTTAGAGAATATCAATATATTCACGAACCTCACCTAACAGCAGCTTGTAAGTTGAACGGTTCTTTGACTAAAACAATGGCGTACTCAAAAAATCAACCGGAGGTCTCGGGTTTGTCCTGCAACGGTGGTCGCAGTAAATGTGATCATCAGAAAGGTGGAGTGGGTTATTGGAGTCCGGATATTAGTTGCACTTGATTATTGTGACAGGATTGATTAACCATTAATAATAACACCCCACTCAGGATTGGTTAAACAAGCCCTACATAGTCATCAAGTGCAGGTAATCTGTATCTGGGTTATTAAACAAGCATAGACATATGCCATTAATGAACATCTGAACAATTAAAATCTAAACAAGGTGCGTCTTACTGTGGCCTGGCATAAACTTTCCAACGGAACAGCTTGTTTACTGATTAGTGATCCCCTCCAATGTCCCAGTTGCTTGTTTCAGCCAATTTAGATAGTGTATGAGATTGAGGACCATTTGATTGACAATTTGTTTTCAGAAATAAAAGTTGGCATTTTGTTTGCTTCCTTGGCCAGTTAGCTCATGTCTGCCACATTAAAGCTTTGTGCAAAGAGCATGTGCGAAACAATAATTCATTGAATGAAGAGTTATATTGGTGACTGGTGAGATGATCGAAATAAAGAATGAAAATGAAATTAGACGAGAGTCTTCACTCTCTAGTCTCTCCGGTCTTCTCTCAGATCTTATCTTGGAAGCCATACCCTTGAATCTATTTAAGAAGTGAAGAGTTTCTTGCCATTCCCCCCCCCCCCCATAAGTGAAAATATTAAAAATGTCTGCTGCTGAAATGATGAGAACATTCAATGTTGTTGGGTGGGCTCTGCTTATCATCTATTTGTTGTCAAGAGTATCAGTTTGTCATGGTGCTGCAACAGGTTGCTCCGAATCTGATAGGAAAGCTCTGATCGACTTCAGAAGTGGTATTGTCGATCCTGAAGGTCGACTCCATTCATGGCAAGGGAGTGAGTGCTGTCAATGGAGCGG